AGATGAAATTAAAAGCAAATGAGTGCTGTAAGAAAGCCCAAAAAAGACAGCTCAGAAGTTATAATAAAACCCATCGAGAAGGCTCATTTGAAGAAAAAAGCCGTGTTTGGTTAAGAAATTTCCCTCAGTCCAGTGCTCCACACAATTTCAGTGCAAAACTGGCCCCGAAGTGGAAAGGTCCTTACCGGGTATTAAAGCAGTTGGGCCCGCTGAATTACCAGATAGCATTGGAAGAAACAGGAGAGGATGTCCGCACAGCACACGTGTGTAACCTCAAACCATGCTACCCAACATAGGAGGAGTTGGAGTCCCACTAAAAAAGAAAAAAATCCTGCAGTTATTCAGAAAACCTCTTATGAAGAATTAGTGGGCTTCTAAAACATAAAAACACACACATGCATCCTGTTTTTCCATCAACCATGGATTGTTTCTTCCAGGGGGGAGAGTGTGGTGTGGCGGTGCGGTGAAAAGTTGCGTAAACATACCACCTTTCCATACCCATATTAGATGGATTAGGTGGAAACTATAAAAGTGCAGGAATAGAGGTGGGGGGGGAAGTGTTCGAAGGAGGAAAGAGAGGATAGCGTCTTACCTGAGGGCTGGACAGACACGTCTTCCAGTATGCGGCTTGCACACTGCATCTGCTGGGGCTAAAGCGAGTGGCGAAGTAGCAATCAAAGCAGCGGCTACTGCTAACTCTGGTTGCAGATCAATGCAGTTTTTCCCTGTTGAAAAAGGCTGAAAAGCTCAGGTATTTATCCTTGAAGCTAGTACTCTGAAATAGAGGTCTACACGGGTCCAAAAATTCGTCCAAAAATTCGCAGACCGTCAATTATTTGAAAGATGGAACCGAACCCGGCCGGGAAGACACAGACCCGACTGGACCCGATCGGCACATATTCCACAGCAAATTGCTATTAACAAGTCGATAAACAAGTTGCGAAAATTAAACTTTTTGTCTTACCTAATGCACACGCACAGCGCTGACTGACTCTGATAACGGCCGGGTGTTCTCCGAGTCCGATCGACTCGGGTAGCCTATTACACACAATGTTAAACAGACCCGGGACCCGAAGTAATAGATTGGGACCCGACCCTGACCCGGCTGACCATTTAAAATATAGCCCCGAACCTGTACGGATCCCGGGTCGGGTCCCGGGTCCTCGGGTCTCGGGTCCTTCATGTAGACCTCTACTCTGAAACCCACAAGCTCTCCCGAAGACTGTCCAAACACACACACACACATAACAAAGTCACGCACCTATTCACACACATTCACGTCCATACATTCGCATATCGCCCGTGTGGGCATATTTTTCTTTTCTTTGACAAATTTTGAAACCTTTGAGGAAAAATAGTAAGTGTACTTATTTCATTAATTGTTTTCTTCTTTCCCTGTGTGTGTGTGTTTTTTTATGATAATATGGAGTGAAATGGACACTTGAATCTGCCGTAATTGAAAAGCTCAGAGCATTGGTGCAGGACGCAAGCATCACTGGCAGCATAGCAGACTACTTAATTATATTTTCATATTATTTTTTTGTTGTTGTTGTTTTTTTTTATCTCTCTCTCTCTCTCCTCCCTAACCAGAGTGTTGAAAAATTGTGAATTTATGGGTAATGCTGTTTTTGGTTGTGTGATTTTGAAAATATACACCCCTGAACTGCAACCAGTTTCGTTATTTCCTGTGATTTAAAAGGTTATTATTTTCTTTAATTGTATGTAACTGGTGGTATAACTTATACATATTAAAAGGTTTAACCTATCTGGCCCCCGAATTTATTGAAATTAGTTAAAAATTTTGAACGATTATTTTGGGTTGGGTCACCACCGTTACAATTTGTAATGAGAATGAGAAATTGCTTTTATGATGTGCACAAGTGACTAGATGATGTGAGGTTGAACAAGTAGTTTTGAGAATTTCAATTCTGATCTGAGAAATGTACCAAAGTGATTGAGAAACACTGTAATTTGCATAATGATTCCGCCATTAGTTTGTGCATGGGGTAGCTAAGATTGATGGGAGTTTAACTAGTCAGAGATCATCTTTAACTCTTACCTTAAACTGTGGACTGAAATTTATACCACTGGAAATCTTCTCGTAAAATAATTTCCTTTGTCTCTTAGCTGAAACTGAAGCAATACATATTCAGATCTACCTGCAATTACCCATTTCATCCATCAAGAGAGGAGAGGAGCGAAGCAAAGAAAGAGTCACAGATGCAAAGGAGACAATATATCGCTGATGGAAAGGAATTGGAATGAGAGGGCTTGAAAAGTTGATGGAAGAGGAAGTAAATAGTGGGGTTACAAGGCATTCGAAGAAAGAAAAGAGCAAAATGGGCTGACAACGGAACAAAGAAAAGTTTGTCTTTCATTTTCAATGAAGTTTATAAATCTCAAGTGTGGAAGCAATATCCTGTGTTTGTAGTTTTCCTAAATTTTCTAAGTTTAATATCTTACTACATGGTCATTGTCTATCTTTTTATTTGGCTGTCACTGTATCTACATAGTTCATGACTTTACAGCTGATCTGTTTCCTCACAGGAAACCATTAGGTTAGGCTGTCAGATAGGCCCTTAATATTTATTAAGAGTTTTGCAAAGGTTTTACAAAGTTGTTTATCTGCATTTCTCATCATCCACTGTCTGCTCTTTGTGAGGGCCTTTTTGTTCACCTCCTGTATGTTATTTTTGTTGTAGATATCAGCCTACACATAAACAATGATTACAGAGTTCCTCAGCGGTCCTCCAGCCTTAACATGCGCCTTCACTCAGATTTGGTATGCTATCATGGCAATGAGATAAAGTGTCTATAGATAAAGATTTCGCTATATAGTTTATATCATGCTATGTAGTCTGATTTAAAATAAAAAATATATATGAGAAAAGGCACAGAACTTGATGTGGTACTGACACTGTTTTATGCACATCTAAAGCATGCGCACAGAAAGCTTCCAAGTATGTACATATACACAGTCTATTACTTCTTAAGTAAACGTAAACGCTTGAGAGAAAATCTATATATTGAATAAGTGCATTAGGTCTTAAAGTGACAGCAGCCTAATATACCTACTGCTGTTTGTTGTTAATGTCAAACAACAAAAGAGAGAATCACTCACTGCTCTTGACTGATTAAACTTTATCGCTTTAAAGGTGCACTAAGTGAATTTTGCCAAACAACGTTGATATTTGAAAGCACCAAAACAAACACGCCCATACCACAACAGGACCTCGCCCCTATTTTGATAACTCCGCCCCACACGTATGTACACAACACTGGGAGCGACGATGGCAGAATCTGCTATGCCTGTCGGCCGCAGCGTATCCAAGCAAAAGCCAACACAGATTAGTTGTGTGAAACAAAGCAAAATCAACATAACTCAACTATCAAGAAGAAACAAAGCAATCTCGGCGTCCAATTCCAGGCCTTCCCCCTCCTTGACTCCTCTCCACCGCTGGAAAGTTGCTCCAGTATTCACGCAGGTCCTACCTCTTGCCCAATCGTAACCCTTCTTTTTAATGTTTTGTTCCTCCGAAATTTTCCTCTTTTTTTATATGCCATCTCTATAGTCGATCTGCTAATATCTGTCCTGTGCACTCACTGAGTGCTCTCTTCTTCCTATCATTACTAGACACGCCCCTTACTGCTGATTGGCAGCAAGTGTGTTTGGGGACTCGGTCTGACACTGGGGTCAAAAGTGTTTTTCAAATATTGCTTAGTGCACCTTTAATAAGAATCAGTGAATATGTAATTCATACAGTTAAGACAATGCAGCTTTTTATTCGTTTGTATTTTTTGTAATGTTAAAGCAGAATTATACAGTTTTTGACTGTAAGATGCATTTCCTCAGATGTGAATTATAACACGTGTGCTGGTCAGGTCTCAACACTCAAAGCATGCAGTATTTTCCATACATTTTCAAACCACCTGGACAATCCACCTGGAGTACCCTAAGGTTAAGTGCCTTTCTTGAAGACCACACACTGATACAGCAAACCTGCAGTCTCAGTAATTCTGCATTTCACACTTACATGAGATATATAATGCAGTAGATAGAGAGATCTGCTGACCCACATATAATTACAATAACTACTGCTTATTTCCTCTAAAATTAAATGAGCAAAAACAAAAAATTGAATTTAGCCACAAGCCCCACTTGCGAATATAAGACAGTGTATTGTGAGGTGAAGCTGACTGTCATTTATTCATTTTTAGAAAAAGTACAAAAGCTGTCACTGGTGTGGTATCTTTTCAAAAGGCACCAATATAGGCCCTAATATGTACCCTTTAAGTACTAATATGCACCCTTAAGAGGTAAATACGGTATAAAATGTGTACTTTTGAAAGGGTACTGCCTCAGTGACAGCTTTTGCACCTTACTTAAAGAGTATATGCCTGTACTGTACAATTTGATTCACCTTGCCTTACTAGACTCATTCTCTGACTCTGGAAATTCACTCTAAATTTAGTGTGGCAGTTGTTAACTAGATAGCATAAATACAGGCGTCTTGACATGGGCTGTGGAAGAGCAAGGGGAAAATTTGCGGCTGGAAAGAATAGAGGGAATACAGACTGGAGGTTTTAAAAAAGTGTGACAGAGTAAGAGAAAGAGAGAGGTGATGATTCAGAACAATAATCCAGCCAAACTCTCTCTCTCTCTCAGCCCCTCACTGCTGACATCACCTTCAATCATGTGTAAAATATTACAGAGTAAAAACCCACTATTTATTTCAAACGTCCCCAAAGGGAAAATAGGGATGGAAAAGAGGTGGAAAGAGAGAGAATGAGACAAACAAACATCAGGCTTTCCTCAGTGGATACACTCATTCTCTTTCCATTTCGGTCTGAAAATTGAGTCTCTTTTTTTCTCTCTTATTCTGTCAGACATTCCTCTTGGTCTGTTTCCCCTTGACATGCTTATAGAATTACAAATGTATTTAGACGTACTGAAAACAGAAACGTATTCGAGCATTTGAACATTACAGCCAGCAAAGTTAAGTGAATGAGTGTGTAGGTGGGACACCATCTCCTGCGGGGTCTATCTGGAAACTCAGCTTCTCGGTGCATATTTGAAACACCTACACAAACACATTTAATTTTGTCTCACATACAAACTCTCCAGCTAACTACACAATGGCAAGGTGCCCTACCACCTGCTGTTGCATCTGAGTTATAAAGTCCCCATAGACAGAGAAAGAGAAAAAATATGCGTGTGGATCTAGCTTCTCGTTTGTTGAAGTCTTAATTGCACTGAGTAATGTAGCAAACTGTCACCTTTTGTGTTCCTGTGCTGACTTTTGTTCTGGATCAGCAAATTAAACAGTGTGTGAAATGTAGCTATAAAAGGGAAACTAGTAATGTGGGTTTCATTTGAACATTGGAGCTGACACCTTTTTTATTTATTTATTACATTTTCAAGAATGAAAGAGGTGTGTGCTTCATGAATATTGCATTTTCAATTTCATTTACACTACTGTCCAAAGGTTTTGGGTAGGTACTTTTTTTTTTTATGTTTCTGAAAGAAGTCTCTTATTAATAGGCTACATTTATTTAATCCACAATACACTAAAAATAGTAATATTACAATTAAAAATAACTTTTTTTCTATTCAAACATATTTAATTGTAATTTATTCCTGTGATGGCAAAGCTGAATTTTCAGCAGCCATGTGTGTAGGTTCACATGGTGTGTGTGTGTGTGTGTGTGTGTGCTCGCGTGCGTGCGTGCGTGTGTGTGTATTTACTACTCACTGCTGTGTGTGTGCACTGGGATGGGTTAAATGCAGAGCACAAATTCACTTCAATATGGGACACCATACTTGGCCACACATCACTTCACTTTATGAACTCTGTCAAAGTATTTTAGTACACTGTTCCATTGAATGCACATACTTGAAGAGAAGGTGCAACACTCACTCTAGAAGAAAAGACTTATACTTTATTAGTTAAAAACAAGTGACGTTTCGGCTATTCTCAAAGCCTTCATCAAACATCAAGAACTGCTGCACATGCAAGAACCAATAAGAGAACCGATGAATACAGCCTAAGTGAGCATAAAGAGCAGTTCACACCAAGAATGACAACTATAGCAATAATTCTATTGTTTATATAGTTTTAAAAATCATTCTAAACTTAATTGGTATGGACACTGGTATTTGTATCATTATACTTATTTCTATAGTTATCGTCCTTGGTGTGTACGGGCCTTAAATTACCTTTGTCTAAAACATTAAAAATCTTACCGACCCCAAACTTGTGAACAGTACGTTACAAAACAGATAACATCCAGTCATAATTATTTACGTGAAGTTATATAATGCACATATCTGAGTGACTCTATTGATTTAATGTATATTCTACACTTGCCCACTATTGACCCTTGATGAGAAAATAATTGAAAATGTGTCCTGTAGCTTTCAATGCTTGGTATGTCGTACAAAACTATATTTGAAGCTGATTAAACGCACAGACACAGAGATGCAGGATTCACTTTAAATCTGCACTTATAATAAGGCAAACAGACTTTTTTCCCAATTTCATGACATTTTACTTATTATTTTACTATTTACTTTCATGTTAGTATAAAAACCATTACGCCTATGGGATGTCCCCACTTTTCACAAAAACAAAACTGTATGTGTGTGTGTGTGTGTGTGTGTGTGTGAACAGCTTTACAACACTTACCAAACAGATGCTGAACACCAAGTACTTTCCATCTTGCTGCTACAGCCTGATTTACTCAAATCTCAATAACTATGATTGAACTAAACCTACACACTGAGACAGATTATGGGGTTGGATACGCTTATCTGCACGCTTACAAGCGTCCATTCCAAAATCTTGCAGTCCGAACACATGCACGCTCACTTCTTGACAGGCTCTGCTCTCAAGACTATTTGCCCAAGCTGTCTTGATTATAGTTGTTTGTGACACTCAGAGGTCCACTCTCTCCATTTTGAGAGTGGTTCACTCTCCCTCACTGTCTGGCCATACAGGCTAATGGCAACTCACTAAAATGCTCATTAATCTCAATCTCACAGTTAGCTGCCTTCAATTCACCTCTGAATGATAGTATTTTCTTCCCTCTGAGAAAATAGCTTTTAAAATTGCTATTGTTTGGCAACAAATCATATTTTGACATGCTCAAATACAACGGGTTAGAATCAATCAGCCACGTTGTAAACTCTGACATTCAGTAAACGTCAACGAAATTTATATGCACTGCTAAACGTCTGATGAAACCAAGGCTCATAGATTACCAAATAGGATAACAATTACTGGAGAGCTGGTCGTCCCAAGGGCCGTGGACCATCAGTGATGAAGAGAAAAGTGCAAAGGGAGGAGGGACAGAGGGGCCATCAAATTAGCCTGGTCGTTTGCTTGTGTACTATGATTCGTGAGGGGCAGGGGCGGATTTAGTGAATTGGGGGCCCCAGGCAAAATATAGGAATGGGGCCCTATACATTTTCACACATTTTCCTAGATCAACCTTGACGTTCCTTTTTTGTTAAAGTGTCACACGTTTTAAACTCAACAAAATGGTAAAATGCTTATATCAAGAGCATGCTCACAGATGAGAACAAAACAGATTGGATGAAGGTGAATTAGAGCCCTGCACGGGTCTCAAATCGGCCCTAGCCCGTCTTTTTCCCCTTTTCCCAAAAAAAGCTTATACTAATGTTTCAGCTATTAAAATAGTTCAGTTTTGTATGTAATGGAAA